AACAGGATCAAGAAACATCTAGAGCCAGGCTCAGTGTAAGGCAGCAGCTCTCAGCCCTGCAGCACAGCTGTACTTCCTGGGCACCCAGGCCCCACTCCAGAACAATAAAGCAGAATTTCTGGAGGGGAAGTGCAGACACTGGCATTTTCTTTTAAAGCTCCCTGGGTGATCCCAATGGGCAGCCGGGTAGAGAACCACTCCTCTCCGGGAAGGGGCCAAGGTGTTCATTTCCCGGGTAAAGGCAGTAGACCAGCACTGGAGACAGGCGATCTAGTACAGCAAGCATCTCTCTCAGGTGTCCTTCTGAATCATCCTGCTTGAGTCTTAGGGTGCAAGATGGCAGCGAGAACCACAGCTCCAAGAGCCATTTCTTTACAATAGTGCTTCTAGATTTGTGGTTCAAGGTCCATCTGCATCATGATCTTCTGAGGAATTTGTTAAAATGCAGATGCCCAGGTCCTGCCTTAGACCTGACCATCTCTGCATGTGATTTAGCTAACCAGAAGTCAGAAACTGTTGCTGGGGGCAGATCCAAGCCCATCTGACTCCAGGTTCTTTCAAATATCCCTCAACACTTTTGACCAGTAAGAATGGAATCTCTGTCAGAAAAAAACAGAACTTTAGGTGCTTTTAAATGAAAGGTAATTATTTAAAGCAATAGAATGGAAAACAACAGCAAAAATCCCCCCTCCATTCCTCCCTCCAAAGGAATCCTCTATCAATTAGTTTGGCGCAGCAAAATCATATCCCTCCCTTTCCTTCCTGTTCTACATTTTTTCCCTTCTAACCAATATTCCCTTTTCCCCTAAATAAGGTCACTTGGAAAAAATCCCTAGTAGAAGTCAGCATCTATAGGGAAATAATAAAATTACTATATAAGGGAAACTACCCAGATCTCATTTTATATTTACTTACACATTTTCCTATTTTCCATATCTCATTCAAACTGCAGTAAAGTGCATAGCTCCCTCTTAAGTCAGAAGAATCAGCTAAAAACCTGACTAAATGGTTTTTCCCACTTAGAATTGGCTGGGAATCAACTTTTTTTTTTTTTTTAATCCGGAGTGTTCTCAGTAATTGCCCCACACACTCATACTTTAAAAAAAAAAAAATGGGGGGCCAGTCCGGTGGCGTGGTGGTTAGGTTCACACGCTCTGCTTCAGCGGCCCAGGGTTTGCAGGTTCAGATCCCAGGTGCGGACCTACGCACCACTCATCAAGCCAAGCTGTGGCGGGCGTCCTACATATAAAGTAGGGGAAGATGGGCACAGGTGTTAGCCCAGGGCCAATGTTCCTCAGCAAACAGAGGAGGATTGGCAACAAATGTTAACTCAAGGCTAATCTTCCTCACCAAAAAAAATGGAAATGAAAAGAAAGAAGCCTTGCACCTTATTCACAAGTCTGGGTCCTTGTCTGTAGTATAAAGATGGTGGTGGAGCAGGCGGGTGAGGGCAATGGGGATAAGGAGTCACGTGCAAAGAAGCTGCACGTAAGATATAAGACGACCTCTACTCACCAGCACCAAGTCACACACCACGTGAAGAGACAGCATGAAAACAAAGTTTAAATGCAACAAGTATTATTTCAGTTTGTAAAATCAACGGTACAGAATTCTTCCTATATTGTTAGTGTGAATGTCAACCAGCACAACCCTTTCAGAAAGCAATCTGGTAATGATCCTGAAAAATGTTCATAAAGTTCATTCCTTTTAATTCAATAATCCAGCTTCTAGGAATCCAGTAGAAGGAAACAATCCAAAAGATAGAACAAAGATATTCACGGCAACATTATATGTAACACAGGAAAAATGTAAACAGTGTAAATACGATAAAATATGGTATGAATGCCTATCTGCTGGACTTTTGCTGAATGCTTAACATAGTCCTGAATGATGAGAATAATTTTCACCATTATTATAAACAAGGAAACTAAAGCATAAGAACGGCAAAGGACCTTGTCTTCTGTCATCCTGCTAGTACACGTTAGAGCCAGACTCGCATCCAGGCTTGACATTCTGAGGTTCACATCCTCTTCAAGTCCCCTCAATGCTCACGAGCAGTGAAAGCACAATGCTTACATAAACTACAGCACATTCAAAGGATTATACAGCCATTAAAGTATTTATAGCGAGAAAAATATTTATGTTAAATGAAGATATAAGATTGTATACACAGTATGATCTAAGCTATATACCAAAAAATTTATAGGAAAAAGAAATGAACCAAAATGTTATTTAGCAGTGACTTTCTCTGGGAGTGGGAATATAAGTAAAAAGTAAGGAGTGAAGATTACTCTAATCTGAAGTTTCCATTTCTGTTTATAATAGGAAAATATATATTAAGAATGAGGTACAGGGCCAGCCCCGTGGCTTGGTGGTTAAGTGCGCGCGCTCCGCTGCTGGCAGCCCGGGTTCAGATCCCGGGCGCGCACCGACACGCCGCTTCTCCAGCCATACTGAGGCTGCGTCCCACACACAGCAACTAGAAGGATGTGCAGCTATGGCATATCTACTGGGGTTTTGGGGGAAGAAAATAAAATTAAAAAAAAAAGAATGAGGTACAGAAAGGTTTTGGTAATTTTACAGCTATTGCCACTACTTGGAGTCCTTTAGAATCAGCTCTCTTCAGGCAAGCATCCCTAGGCAATGAAAGCATTTGGTCCTTTTACTTGGTTTTCTATACTCTCTCAGGGGAGTGTGTCCTAAGGAGAGGCTCAAAGTACCTTCCAGATTAGCAATACAGTGAATACATAAACCAGAGTTAGAGAAGCTCACTTAAGTTTACTAAAATTTGAAAAAGCAAAAAAAAAATCCCCAAACACAAAACCACTTCAGTCACTCTGAAGATTTAACTCTAGCCTGAAGGAAGCTTCGAGGAGAATGAATGGGGAACGAAAGACCAGACAGGTAATAAGGAGGAACATGCCAGGACTCCTAAGGTTGTGTCTGCCATGTGTTGAAGGTGGGGCAAGCCTTGGCATTTCCGTCTAGAACGGAGGCTCGCATAAGAGCTATAGGCACAAGACCTGTGAGTACACTTATAAATTCTTAAACTACATAGTGGACAGAGTTGAAGCTATGAGTCAGGAATACTAACATTTCATGGTTAATATTTAATATTTTCTGGACTTTCAAGTGCCTCTAGTGTCCTGTATTAGCTGGAGTAGAGACCTACACATACAGTGGCTCAGATAAGATCAAGTTACTGTACCAGGCAGCCCAGAGACGGTGGGCAGCTCTTCTACAAGGTCATCGAGGTTCCTTCTGTCTTGATGCTCTGCTATTTCCTAATTATGAGACTTTTCTAACGATGGACCCTGACTCACTGATAGCACATCCAAGTTTCAGCGTGAGGGAACAGGGAAAAGGGCAGGGGGAAGGACGTGACCCAGAAGTTGCACACATCACTTCAACTCATACCACACAGATCAGAACCTGGGAAAGACAGTCTCTAGCTAGGCAATCCAGTACCAACTGAAACTCACGAGGTTCTATTTCTAAAAGGAAGAAGGGGGGCAGGGGACAATTAGCAGCAACCACATCTTAACCAGGCGTTAACAATTACTCATTTCCTTAGCATTAATCCAGAGGCCTGAAGGAATGGGTATCTGAAAGCAGGGATGAAGAGTGAAGGGAAGGATTAATGGTGATCTAAGCAGAAAGAAAGCGTGAGTCAGGTCTCCAGGCAACCCCTCTGCTGGTCTGGTTACATGTAGCTTCCTCTTTTAAAAACTCTGTTTCCTGGGTAATTCCAGTGGGACAGCCATTTGAAGAATACCCAAATAAGCCCTTCCACAGTCTCCCAGCTCTATCCAGCATTTCTCTCTGCCCTACTCATTTGGATCTGAGAATCATCTTCCAGAGGGAGACCAGAGTAAAAGCTGAAACTAGAAAACCCTAGTTCTAGTTCCAGTTCTGCAAACCAGGCCACGTGAACACGCATTCCTCTAAACTCAGCTTCCGCACCGATAAAATGAGGACATGAACAAGGTCAAGACGACCTCTTCCGGCTCCAATATTTAAATGGTCTGAATCTCAGTCTTTTCTTCGCCATTTTATCAATTAAAAACTCATTTCTAAAGCAGTGATTAATGTGTGCAAACACTGCAAAAAGCTGTCATCACAGAGCTTTGAGACTGGTTATGGAAGTTCTAGGACACGTCCTAAGAAAGTAGTCTAGACTAAGTGAAAGAATGGTATCCTCGTAATCACTTCACACGAACTAGGACTCAGTATACTCGGTCATGGTTTTAATGGTATTGATTTTCCCACTGTTTATATATGGAGTTTCACTCAAGATTTTGTTTAAAGAAAATATTTTAGTGCTAAAAGATTTGAAAACCATCATACAAGAAATTATAATAGCCTGTGCTCTTAAGGAATCTCTAGGGCAAGAATAATTTTCTCAAAGAAACTACTTCAAAAACTATGAGTAAAAAGGCACAAAATAACAACTCAATTCTATCTATTTAAATTTTTCCTTTTCCTTCTGGTATTTTAGGCAAGAGAGTTTGACGAAATATATTCCAAAGAATCGTGTTTAAGACCTAGAGGGACAGCAGAATAGTTTTATCTTTACAGGTATATATCATTTAGAAAGAAGTGTTCTTAAAAAGAAGGTAAACTTTCAGAGATACAACTTCACTGTCACCATCACCAAATCAGTCATCAATTCTTAGACACAGAACCTTTTCTAACTCCCCAAAAAACTCCAGGCTTCCAAACTAGCCAAGCCATCCTTCTACTTTGGGATCATCCAATTTTCTTTCATGTTACGACTCTCCTCTAGCTTCAATGTACACCTAGACAGCCATAACCATCTCGAGATTGCCTCCATTTAGGACCACGTCCTGTGAAGAATTCTACTCAGGATATTCACTACTGGTTCCACATAGGTCCTCTGCCAAATTCACGATATCCGTAAACTTCATCCATTACTTCATAAACGCACAGCTTTCTTGAAAAAGAAAACCATCAAACAACTTTAAAATATGACACAAATCTTCATGAAGATATAGTCATCAAATTTATTATTTTCATTAGCTTGCCATTTTATGAAGAATTCCTAAGACTAATGTTTCTTGACATGCAAGAGTTAGCACTAATAGCTTAAGTTACTATAAATACTGCTGCTTGGAAGCAGTACAACTGTTTTAGAGTTTTAAGATCACAGACTTTTATTATTCAAATCTTATTCAGTGTATGTTAAAATCAGAAGGTTCTGAACAGCTGGTTAGGAAGGTAGCCAAGATGCAGGAAAGATGTCTGCGCCTCCTTTTCAAGGGCAGCCAACTCTTGAACTGTAGGTGCCAAAATATCCACATGGCCTTTATAGTTTCCACCTGCATCACACACAAATTACAAAGCGATGTAAATGACATGCTTGAAATAACTTGTCAGCAACACTCTGGCTCAAATATATCAGTTTAAACCTTGCTTCTAGCAATAAAAATGTACTACTGGGCAAGTTATCTCTAAAACTCTGAGTTTTAAAAATGTTAAATCAATATTAATAAATAAGGCCTCACTAACAGCTGTCCCAATACCCCTACCAACCCCGCCCCTATCCCTTCCTTGGTTTGGAAACCACTAGTTTAGCCTGAATCTTAAAAACAATTTTCAGGAATAAGCTAAGGTAATAGTAGGCTGGGTTACCACTCGAATTAAGTCAAAGGCTCTCAATTCTTTATGAAAAATTACCATTATACTCTTGTTTCCTAATAATTGCATAAATGTTCAACTACTCTTATGACATTAACACCTCAAGATAAATAGCTAAGCTGCTGTCCTTCATTCACATACAAATCACACAATAAAAAAATGTGACGACAGTTATGGACAAAGTACTACGCGAGTAATGAGGAGGCAATGATTCATATGCTAAAAATATACACTTAAGGATATGAAATTACTCTCAAACTAAAGCTCAGAAACGACACATTCACATTTAAAACAGAATTAAAAGTAATTCAAAGCTTACCACCAGCAGCCCTTTTTTGACCATAGGTAACCTTCCCATCAAACTCATCCACTGGTACCTTTATATCTGGCTCAACCTGAGAAATGGTACAGTTCAGGTGTTCTTCTATCTCAGACAGCAACTAAGAAAGGGAGAGGAAATTAAAACATTCTCAAAGTTGCATTTTAATAGCATTAAATAAAACCAGGAAGGCTATAATACTTAGTATAAATGAAACTGAGATTTCTGAAGAGATGAACTCAAAAGCTACAATTTATAAACTATAGGTAACATTATAATCAATTACTACTTTTCCTTATAATTGACAAACAGATAAAAGCTGAGATTAATTTTTGTAGATAAATGCAGTTTATTTTTACCAATTTTAATAAGCTTTGGGGGAGTCTTACCTGCATCTCATTGTACCATATGGTACAGCCACCATCATCCTTGAGTCTTGTGTTATAACACCCTTTTCCACGGCTGCTACATACATGGTACCAAACCTATATTAAAGCAAAAATATTAACATGTATGAAGATTGAAACATGCTAGATAGCTTTATTCTCAATTAGTTTTTAAATATTTCCTGTCCTTGAGACACAAGAAAAATAGATTATAGGTATGCTATATCATCCAATTACTACCACCATTCAGTAGCTCATTAACTAGGTCTTCTGAAAGAGTTCTGAGAATAATCCAAAAGTTTTTCTAAAATGGATGTCAATTATGGAAAGGAATTCTCAGATAAAAATAAGGATGAAAAAGTAAATATTGGAGAATGCTGTAGCAAGATTAGTATCAAAAATAAAGTTAAAATGTTTTCTGATTGTATATATAGAAAACCCAAAAGAATCTGTTGGAAAACTATTAGAAACAATCAACAACTACAGCAAAATTGCAGGGTACAAAATCAATCTACAAAAATCAGTTGCATTTCTATATGCTAATAATGAACTAACAGAAAGAGAGCTCAAAAA